TACTTTAAAATCTAGTGTTAAAGAGAAAATATTGCAATCAGCATAAAAATTAATTCTCTGAGTGTTATGAACAAAGACAAAGACAAAATTTTGACTTATTTAGAAATGAAAGATGTAATTATTAAAGTAAACGAGTTGATTTTTAGTGGGCAAACTGAGAGTCCTATACACCTAGTATCTATGTGTTAATAATACCAAGATCTAAGAGTACTTGAAACACTGTAGCTAATAAATTAGATGAAATTTCAGAGTATGTGGTTCTTTTTAATTTAAATTTTTCATTTCAAAATTTAGAAGTCATTTTCAGGTATATGTATGGTAATAATTTAGTGAAAACGGATATTAATACAGTATCTTGCTAATACATGATACATATTGCAATTTTGGGTTTATCAGTCATTTATACAGCAAAAATAATAACTAAAATATTTTAATGTGTACTATGTGATAGCACCATCTTAAGTGTTTTACATATATTAATTGATTTAATCCTCAACATTATTGGATATAGGTACTAGTATTACCCTCATTTTACAGAGGAAGAAACTGAGGCACAGAAAGGTTAAGTAACTACCCCAGGTCACACAGTTAGTAAGTAGCAGAGCTGAGATTCTAATCCAGAGAGTCTGCATCCAGGGTTCATGTTCTTAACCATAACTATTTATTGAGCACTTACTATTTGCCAGGGACTATTCTAGGTTCTGGGGATACAGTGATGAACCAAAGAAACAAAGGTTTCGCTCTTATAAAACTTACATTCCAATTGAGGGAGACAGATGATAAATAAATAGATAACATGTTAGGTGATAAAAATGTACTAGGAAGAAAAATAAAGCAAGATAAGGGAATAAAAAGTCCCCTTAAGGCAAGTTAAGGAACAGGATGGGTCATATTTTGGTAGGACGATCTGGAAAGCACTCCTTAATTAGGTGGCATTTTGTCAGAGAAGCACATAAAGCATGGGAGTGAGCCATGAGGATGCCTGAGGGGTGAGCATTCCAGGCAGAAGGAGAAGTGAGTGCAAAGTCTGACATGGGACTCTTCTTGGCACGTTAGGTCGCTGCTGAAAGGAGGCGTCTTGGGTTGGAATAAAATTAGAGAGGGAGAGGACAGCTGGAAATAACATCTGAAAGATATCTGGGAGTAAGATCATGCTGGGTCTTATAGAACAATGTAAGGATTTTGGATTTTATTCTGAGTGGGATGAGATGGCATCAGAGGGGTTTGAGTTTAGATATAACGTGATCTGACATTTGTTTTCAGACAAACAAACGAACAAACAAAGGGTCACTGTAAGAGGATGTGTGGAAACAGAAGACCAGTTTATTGGCTATTTAAAATAATTCAGGTGAAAGAAGATGTTGGCTTGAACTAGGGTAGCAGGGATGCAGAGGCAAAAATTGGCTGATTCGGGATGTATTTTGAAGATAAAGTGGAATTGCTCGTGGATTTGATGTGAGGTGTGAAAGAAACTGTAATCAAGGAGAATGCGAAGATTTTTGTTCTGAGCAGTGAATGAAGGCCACTTATTTAAGGCAGGGACCCTTAGGGGAGCCCAAGCAGGGATGGGAGTGGGAAATCAAAGGTTCAGTCTTGGACATTTCGAGTCTGATACCTAGTGGACACCATAGTCAAGATCCTTATAGGTTGTTGGACATGTGAGTCTGGAATTTATAGGAGAGATCAGTGCTAGATATAAAAATTTTGAGGTGGGTCAGGGTATGAGAGGTGGATGCAATCACGAAGAGAGTGGGTGTAGACAGAGAAGGGGTACAAGGACTGGGTCCTGGGACCCTCCACCATTTGGAGATCAGGAAGATGGGGAAGACTCGGCAACTGAAATTAAGGAGAAATGGCTGGTTCTTAGAAGGATAACCAGAAGAGTATAATGTTCCAGTGGCTAAATTAAAAAAAACTATTTCAAGAAGGGAGGGAGTAGGGGTGATATCAGTGAAAATGACAAATGAAGAGCATCTGAATTTTTTTCCCTCCACACAAAAAATGAAAAAACTGGCAAAAATAGTCAGAATCAAACTTTTTCAGAACTCTGCAAACTAATCAAAGGCTTGCAGTAAACTGAGGAGTGTATATTAAAGGAAAATGGCTGCATTTCAGTAAGAAGAATGAGCCTTGTTATGGTGTTTTAACTTGCTCTAATCTCACCCCCCACTCTCCCAACTATGTGGTAGCTTGAAAAAATAACAATCTGCATCCTGGTACAGCCTGGTTGAGGGAGCGTAACGGAGTCAGAACTATTTCACAGCCAAATTTTCAGAGAACTGTCATTATTTTACCTGTCTGATAGTTCTCTGGGAGACTCCACTCAAGCTTGCCCAGAGTGAAAAGCATTTTTCCTAGGAAGCATCTGTCAAAAAAATAAATGACAGACGTGTTTTTTAAAAAATTTTTTATTTAACTATAGTCGGCTTACAGGGTTGTGTTAATTTCTGATGTACAGCATAGTGATTCAGATATAAATATATATATTCCTTTTCATATTCTTTTTAATTACAGGCTATTACAAGGACAGACACGTGTTTTAACTTTGCAGCTGTCTGAGGCAGTAGATCACAGTTGAGACAAACAATAGACGAACCAAAAAGCTTAAAAGGAGAAGCTAGGGAATGAGACATCCACAGGGACTTTGAAAAACTCTGACACATTCCTGGGACTCTATAAAGCCACACACATGGCAGGGCTGTGCATGTGCTCAGGAAAGGCATGAGAAGGCCCTAGGATCTGCATAAGCAGGATGTTAAGGAAGGGTTGTCAACTGCCTGGCTGAGTGTTGAAAGCATCCCCCAACGTGCACACAGAGCCCCTCAGCAAACACTGGTTGATTTATTGGTTCCAGGCATTTAAGGAAATCTCTGTCTTATCAATAGCTGACCACTAAGCTAACTGAGTAGAGACTTCACAGGCCACATACAACAAAATCAGACTTTATAGAATTGGTTCAGCAAAGTCACTAAACGAAGGATAACAATAAGCGACAGCAACAACAAACCTGGGATTGTACGAAGGTGATGTCTTACTAAATAGGAACTATCAATAAAAACACAGAAATTATAAAACAGAAGTTCTAGAGTTGAAAAATAATATAACTAAGGTGAAAAATTCAGTAGAGGAGCTCAACAGTGGATTTGAGCAGGCAGGAGAAAAAAAAATCAATGAACTTGAAGATAGGAACCAATTCAGATGATCCAGTTTGAAGGGAAAAAAAGGAAAAAGAATGAAGAAAAATTAACACAGCCTCAGAAATCTGTGGGATATCATCAAATATACCAACATACCTCTAAATGGGAGTTCTAGAAGGAGAAGAGAGAGGAAAAAGGGACAGAAAGAATATTTGAGAAAATAGAAAACAACCCAATTTTGATGAAAAACATTAATATATATGTTCAAGCAGCACAATGAACTCTACATAGAGTAAACTCAGGATAAACACCTAGACACATGATAATCAAACTGTCAAAAGAGAGTATCTTAAAAATAGAAGCAACTCATTGTGTACACAGATCCTTAATAAGATTAACATCTAACTGCAGGCAGTTGAGGAACAGTTAAAGTAGGAGGGAGCAATGGACACCCTTTGAGGGCCTAACCCTCAAAGGAAGTGGTAAAAGGGAGCCAGTCTTAGCCCGGTAGTGTTTGGGTCAGTTCCTTGAAATTTCAAAAACTGAATTCTCTCTCAAAACATACCTTGTATTTAATGTGGAGAAGATGGGGAGTGAGGCAGAATCTGGATTGTGAAGAGTATGTAAACGTTCCTGCAGGAGATCCAGCAGCGCCCACTGAGGACCGAGCCAAGGAAGCTGGAAGCAGGGTTGACCTTGGGGCTCACAGCCGTGCCACCTGCGTCCCGCACGCTCAGGGGCCTGCGCTGCGGGGGACACGCTGGCTCCTGAGTCCAGGAGGAAGGGTGAAGTCAGAGTCACTTTTGGATTTTAATAACCCCTCCTTCCATTTCAGGTATCAAAATACAATGGCTTTCCAATTTTCTAAGTAATAATATTAATGTAAATAAATTTCCAAAACGTTAAATGTTAATTCCTCGAAATAGTCTCAGAATAAAGGACAATCACCTGGCTTGACTATTTAGTTTTACGAAAGAGTCACTAAATTGTACTTATTTCCCTTTCTCCTCCTTCCACAAGACCCACCGACGACCTAGGACAGCTGCAGACCAGGAAGTGGAAACCATCAGACAACCCGGCCTCCGGTCTGAATCTCTGGTTGACGAGACCTGGGGCCATTCCGTTCGGGCCAAGGCGCTTCCTCACAGGGCAGCTCTGTGTCGGCCGCTTCTCACTCGCGGGGACACCCTCACCCAGCCGGCAGCCCACCCCAGGGCCCGCTTCGGCTCCGTCCACGTGTTGGCCTATCCCACGCTGCTCAGAGGAGCAGGGTCTCTATGAGGAGACTTGCGGACAAGAGCAAACGGTTCGGGTTCCCGAGCCGAGCGGGGCGCCGCAGGCTCCGGGACCACTCCTCGGGC